CCCTCCATTTATTTGTTGTATTTATTCATTTTAAAGTATTTGCGTTCAGTGCATTGTTTCTTACGATCCGTTGATTAGATTTAACTCTGTTCCAGTCTGTTGTATTTCAGGCGTCTATTTGTTCAGGGTTTTTTTCTTCTACGTTTTCGTGTGTTGAATACACGGCCGTGTAGGTTTTATAATCGGTTGCCTCGACGAGAAGCTTGTTTTGTTTTCCCGCTGTTGCCGGGAGGATGCTGCGCCGGCGGCAGTAACAGCTGGTTAAGGATTACTAGAATTTTCCCTCAATATGTCGCAGGAGACAACCATGTAAGCTTTGTGCAAGATCGTACTAGATTTTATCGTGCGCTTTGTTATTTAATAGCTGTCATTTCTTGCAGTTCCGTATGAATGAGGAACACCTCGATGTACGTAAAACCCATTCTTCTCCCATGCAGCTGTTTGTCGTTTATTTACAAGCCTAAATGTAATAACATTGATGTGGGTGGTTGGAGGGCGACGCTGGTAGGTCCTACTTCTTTACTTTCCATCTCTGTATATACATTTCTGTTCGCCTGTCTTACTTTTCCCCCAGCTCTAAATGACCATTATTGTGTCGATGTGCTTCTCGAAATCAAACAAACAAAATAACATTGATACTCACGCATTAAGTGCGTGAAGGTGTTTGCTTGATTTTTACCTGTTTAATACTTTGATTCAGATTTTTTTCCTTTCTTACTCAGTCTATTTCTCTTTCTTGTCTGTCTGTCTGTATGTATGTATGTTCTTGTTTATCCGCACATCTCAGTGCTTGGCCTTTTATTTGAGTCTTCGTGACGTTACGCAAAAGGAAAAGGCGCTTTCAGCTTATTTATGAATTGGGGAAAGGGGGACTTTTATGGTGTAGGGGCTTATTAAACAAACTTATTGCGGAAAGTACCGCGATTTGCCCCTTCTCGTTATTGCCAAGGGTTGTCTCCTCACGCCTCCCGCGCACGCACTCTCTCTGACCCAAACACACGTGCTCGCTCGAGCTGGTATAGAGGGTGGAAGCCATAGTGT